TTTGAAAACGCCGCCCGCACTTATAAGCTGCCCCAAACGGACCCTAAGTTCAAATCTAACATGCTCTGAAATACATGCGAAAATTTTAAAAAATTAACTTCAAACACTAGCACTTGCTCAGACGTTAATTCTAAGTTATCAAATTTATGCGTTGAGAATATTGTGCGGGCTAGAATAAGATTAAGTCGTAATCACTCTTAGAAATTCAAATTTCCTTAAATCAACTTAAATCATCAACTTCAAACACACGCATGTGCTCCTACGATCACCCTATGTTCTTAAACTTAATTGTTTGAGATTGTTGTGTGGGCCAAACACATGCTTAAGCTAAAAAAAAATATCAAAATATGTGCAAAAATATTAAAAAATTAACTCAAGCCAATGAGTCTCAACTCTCACATGTGCTCCGACCAATATATATTGAATACTTGATCACATGATCTAAAAATTTTGTGGAGGTCAAACACACCCAAACTCAAAATTAATATTTTTTCTTTAAAAGTGTGTAAACATATTAAGCATTGCTTAAATCTTACATTTGAGTATCAAATTAAAAACTATCAAAGTGCACAAGTTATTAAATGGTTCATCTTGCATATAGGGCAATGTCGTAAGTCTCATACTTTGGTAAATCTGATCATTCCCCCTGCATGGACTGGATTTGACGAGATTAAGCCCCATGCTGAGGCAGTTTGATCTTCTTCATAATGACTGGAGTTGACAAGACTAGTGTTTTTAATGATGATTAAGTAAAAGTTTAGCCCTTGATAATGACCGATTGTTTGTAGATTTCAATCATATGGGTATTTTTAATAGTAAGCTCTAATAATATTCAAATAAAGTCAACTAATGCAAATCATGAACCTGATTCTTTGTGAGTGGGACAGTGTCAATAGAGTTCAAAGACATCTTCCCCGATGACCGTGTTGATTGTGAATATAAACCAAAGGGATCTACTCATAAAAGATTTTAAATTATAAACCCTAATCTTTAAATGAAAAATTATGTCACTTGATGATAAAGAGCAAAATTCATCTACCATCAACAACTGTTTGTTGAGGTGGACAAGTTTGATATTGACTCAAGCTCACAAAGGGCTAATGACATATTAAACATATTACTAAATTCAAATTCAAAATAATTTTGCGCTAGTAATTATGTGGCCCGAGTCTTTTGTTCATGTGGTTTGGCTAATAGGCTCCACAAAAGAAACAGTTATGACCAGAGTCATCTGATTGGATGGTTTGGTCATAGGTTTGATTAGGTGATTTCGCCTGTAGACTCTATTATAAATCAAATAAATCAGTACAAGTCGCTGGAGAAGCATTTAGTGCATGATGTTACTTACAATAACCAAATATATTTGTGATTGATTAATTAATGTGATGACTTAAAATTTGACAATACACAACATATGGATGATTAATTTTAGGAAATATTTACGGGGAATGTCTTTAATGAACTATTTTCCTAAAAAAATGATTCCCTTAAACTTTGAGAAATATATATTTGTTTTTTTAGATGATTTTATATAGGGCTTTTCTGCAAGCAATATATTTTAAAATTAAATGATCATTCCCATCTTACATGAATATTTAAAAAATAATGTTGAAAAGAATATGAATGCTCCACAAAATTTATTAACTTGGTAATTATAAATTAAAATTACCATATTTGATGCTTTAAGTAATTTTTTTTCTAACAAATGCACGAAAATTAATTTTCTTTTTGCATTTACATTCAAGTAGCCTCTCAACTTGAGCATTTTATCTACTTAAAAGCAGATAAAATAATGTTATGGTATTAAATTTCTCTAATTAAAAAGAAAAAATAAATAAAAATAGTTAACTTTATTAAAATTGGCATATGAAGCAGTCATTAAGAGGGTACAACTATGATGTGATAGTGGAGTGAATTGCTACCAATGATGCATACACTCCATCCTCAATGTTCATAAGAGCATCATGTTTACCTTGTTCTACAATCATCCCATTTTTCATCACTGCAATAAGATCTGCACTTTTGATTGTAGAAAGTCTATGGGCGACAATAACTGTGGTTCGACTAACCATCACTTTCTCCAATGCTGTTTGAACAATCCGTTCAGATTCTGAATCCAACGCGCTCGTTGCCTCATCCAGGAGCAGAATCTTGGGCTGCTTCACTATAGCTCTTGTGATCGCCACTCTTTGTTTTTGCCCGCCGGAGAGTTGAATGCCTCGCTCTCCCACTATGGTTTGATATCCCTACAAGATAAAAAATGTGAGATGGATGAAATAAGCGCACTTCTATAATAGCTTGAACTCTCACCCATCAAGATATTGTCTGCTTTAGTCTAAAAGCCTCACAATTTTATTCCATTTGTGTAACTTCGCAGGAGGTCACCCATCCTGAGAGTGCTCGCACGGGAGCACTCTTAACTTTGAAATTGTGGTTGAAATTCCAACAGCTACACTAAAAGGAATCTTAATGTTTAAGCATTCAGCTTTTCCTAGTTAAAACATTTATAGAAATGTTACAGTAGTATAACCTGATTTAAACTTGATATGAACATGTGGGCATTCGCTAACTCAGCCGCAGCTATAATCTCAGCCTCACTGGCCTCATCCCCTTTACCATAAGCAATATTTGACCGAATGGTGTCATTGAACAGCACAGGTTCTTGACTCACCAATCCCATCTGTTGCCTCAACCAACTCAAACGGAACTTCTGCAGCTCTGTTCCATCCAAGAGTATATCTCCTGAATTAGGATCATAGAACCTTTGTAGCAGTGCTATTGCTGTAGATTTTCCACTTCCACTCTCCCCTACAATTGCAACAGACTGAAAAGTAAAACAAGGTTAGAGTTATTATGTTGGAACAACATGGCACACAATTTATCTGTATTTACAAAACTCACACCCAAACTTTCGTATTGACACACAAAGAACTCAACTCTTCCATAGCACATCAAAAATAGCAGTGTTATCACTTTTTAAAAGTTCAATAAACATTTTCATGCATAAGTTCAAAGCATCAATATACTATGTATGTAAAAATGAAAGTCTAGGTGTGAGATGTAAAGACATAAGAATTGTCTCCTATGTAGGTAATTTCCCTATACTATTTAGTCACAAGCCTTCATAGTTACATGAACTGTGTACATACTACCTTTCCAGATTGAATGACAAAGCTTATATCTCGAAAAATTTGCACATCTGGTCTTGAGTGATAGTTGAAACTGACATGGCGAAACTCAATATTGCCGTCGATGGAATTTAAAGTCATGCCAGATTCATCACTTGGATCTATTCGAGATTTACGATCAAGAATTGTGAAAATAGAACGTGAGACAAGTTTAGCTTTATTGGAATCAGGTCTATTAGAGCTTGACTGAGCAATTTCGAGGAATGTTATTGCTATGGCTATAAATGCCTGAAAAGAATATTGAAATAGGAATTAATGTTAACATATAAACAGACAAGTTATTAATATCAGAATCAGTTACTACATTTTATTCTTTATCACGTATTAATGCAAATATGTTTGTATCTTTAATATTAATATGAATTCCCAAAGAAAAATTAAGCTGTCATAAATAGAGATAGGCAGATGCACACAATAACATGAGAAATATGCATGATTGCACGTATAAAGCCATGATGGGAATTTAAATATTCTCATAATATTGTGCATAGTTATCATTATAGCACCTACACATGAGTTTTTAGATTACTAGAAAATGTTCAAAATAATACAACATGGAAAACCCTCTTGAACTCAATAAAATTTCATCTAAAGAGAAATCAATGCTTTTCCTAAACTTAATTTATATGGACATATAATCACTCTTTTTTTTTTTGCATATAAAAACAAAATGGTTAGAAAAAAGTTATGTTTAAATCCATTTTTTTGGAGTACCAATTTTCCTAATTGAGGATCAAGTAATGCAAGGTGAAGAAGTAAATGTGTATGTTTAATATAATACTTTAATGTTTCTATTAAAATGCTTTTTCAAGTTAAATTAGCTATTAAGAATAGTTATCCAAATGAGCTATAGACGATGATAAGATCTACTGAATTTTTATGCATAAATGTTGCCTGAAGTATTCAAATAATTTTTTTGATTCGTTAGAAATCTATATAAATTATTTTCACTACATCATATTGTATGTTATACTTTTTTTTATAAATATTTCTTTTATTTTCATGGGCAATGTAGGTATGAAAACATAAGGTTCCTTTTTTACTTATTTTTTTAAGCTTTAACATGCCTTCATAAAAGTATATTTTTTTTTAACGATATAAAGTGTATTTTGCTAACCATTTTCATTGAACTGTTCTAAATTTGTTGTAGTAATTATTGATAATAATTAAAACTAAACAGTTTCTTTAATGATACAATTATTTTTTATTTTGTTTTTCATATATAAATATTAAAACTCATTTGAGAACCCACTTTTTTTATTCTTTCATTCCATTTGGCCAAGATAGACAAAGAAGGGAGAAAGTTAATGTTTCGAGATCTTAGAGCTATTTTTTAAGACAGTCTAACAGAAATATTATTTGGCACAAGATATATTACGATTGCCTTACCTTTATTTTTATGTTTTTTTCCTTCATATTTTCTTCGGTACATAATCGTTTTTATTTTATAATTTGTTTTGTAACATTCATTCTTAATTTATTAGAGCTGAATAAAAATATGACACTAAATAGGATGCAATGAAGAAAAAGGATTCATGTAGCTGACCCCACGTTGTGGGATTAAGGTGGTGTTGTTGTTGTTGTCGTTGTTTTGTAACATTAATTGTGTTATTGTCATGTTTATTTTCACACATTCTCATTATCATTAGAATTTCACTGGCTATTTAATATCGATAAGGCATATGTCTGAATTTGAAAAGCATTAACTAGTCACAAAATTATATATTTATATATACATATTGATATGAAAATATTAATTATTCTTAATCCCCCGTTATTTTTACTTTACACGCAATTAAGGGTGTAAATGAGTCAAGTCAAGCTTGAGTCGCCCTCGACTTGAGCTTGATTCTACAGTATGAGTTGGAATGTGAGTCTGCACGTTTATTATGAAAGAAAAAAAAGTTAATTCAAGCTATTGGTATAATAAAATATCAAATAAAACAAGCATTTAAGAGAAATAATAATATGTTTTATTTTTCATTTTTAATATATTTTGAGTTTAGTTTATATTGATGATTTTTAAATGAGCCAACCCATGAGCTAACAAGTCCAGGCTGACTTGAGCTTGGCATGTTAGCTCATTGAGCTCAATTCACGAGCCACTTATCAAGCCGAGTCCGAGCCGGCTCACGACTTGGCTTGGCTCAATTAAACCCTACATGTAGTTTTATATGCATTAAAAATGGTATTATGCAAAGAATGATTAGTAATATCTAGATCAGTAATTATGTTATATATGTTGTGAAACATGTATAGTTGAGGCATAATATTAAAAAAGCTGACTATTATAGGTTGAAAAATGAAGCAATAATTATGTTATATGTACCGTGAACGTTAATTAAATTATATATATTCAAAAAAGACTGTCAATTATAACTCAGATTTGTTGAGACATGATATTATATATAGAAAGGTGATTCATTTGGCTTTCTTTTAAATTTGAGTTTGTGAATACGATATAGGAAAAAAGACATAAGGCGGCAGAGACATAAGGTTGGAAAATGAAACATAATTTAACATGAGTTTCGCATACTATGTCACCAAAATTGTTCTCATTTTATTAAATAATATAATATTATACTTAGCTTACTAATATTAATACAAGGAAAGTACTATATAATATATATGATATACTAAAAATAAGTAAAAGTCTAACATTTATATTATAATTGTGATAATAAACACCTCTTATATTGTTCCATATGATAAAATGAATTATACTTAGTAATTCAAACATAATATTACCCTGCACAATATATGACGTTAGATGATATCCATTAGTTATAATCTATTTTTTACATATGATTCCTACACATGAATACTATCATAAATATTTACTTGGCGCAAGCTTACTCTCTTGATATAATTGTTGTTAGCATATATCTTTATTTTCTCTTTTGGGCATTAAATATAAGCAATGTCATGTCTATAACTTATTTAGTTGTTTGTTGATATCTCTTATTTACATATTGTCAAGGCAAGACTTCCGTGGAGTGAAGATATCTATTAGACGAGCCTCCCGACCAAACTCATGTGCCTAAGAATTTCATCCCGCACATAGACAAGATCAAACATGTGACCCCGTGGGTCTTAAGAACTCTGTCAACCAAAGAGTAATGGTAGCCGGCACTAGTTTTTTATATATATATATATATATTTTTGTATATTAATGAATTAAGCTTATTTTACTAAATTCATTAGAGTACTAGATATTGATACTTAGTGGCTCTATGTTATTTGAATATGATAATATAAAGAAAATTTTTTAAATAAGTCTCATATAAACACTCCTTTTCCATTGGATTTAATGTGACCTATTATGATATAAAGATTATGTTAAGTTAATTTGTGACAACAATGCTGACATCAAGACTCCTTATACAAACGAAACTATCACCTTCGCTTGAATTCAAACTCCATGGGTGATTTTTTGTGCTCCTGACATTACTCCTAAAGGTTCTTTTGAAGGAAAAATAATGAATCATATGATTAAACAAACAATGTTAGAGATATAAGAGATGATGGAACAATAGGCAGAGGAAATGAATGAGCTCCACAATTTCAAAAGTTGGGTGGAGCATATGCTTATTTATAAGTTAAAAACTAAGTCTTTGGCTCCTAATGGAAAAGGAGATCTTCAATTTAAAATGATCCTTAATGTAATATCATTACAAAAAATTTACTAATAAAGCATAACAGAGGAATTTTTCTAAGGTTTAAAGATCAAAAGATTCCATTTCATTCAAAATGTTAGTTTAATTGTAATGATAATTTTTAATCATTGCAAGCACTGTCGATCCTATAAACACGATCCTTAAAAGTGTTCAGATAGTCAACTATAAAGAAAATACCATACTTTAAATTCAAAAAATATAATTTATTATCATGATGTTCAAATATAATATTTGATTTTCAATATCTCATTGATTTCATCATTTTACATTTTAAATGTCAAAAAGTTAAATTTATTTGACTAGGGTAAGTAGTGCCTCTATTCTTTGGTCTAAAGGGCATAATTTTTGTAGAAAGAAGCGTGCATTCATCAATATTGGTGATTTCTCCTTAATGTTGGGGTGTGTATTGATTCGATGGTAACAGGAAAAGGCATGCATAAATTTTAGCATATAAAGCCTACTACAAAATTATGGGCCTGATATTGGAAAGAGGTCAGAATCCTTTGAACACGCATTATTTAATTTTGTAAATTATACAAACATTCACTAGCTTCCACTAACCTTCTTGGCAGTTAACATTATGGACCTTTTGGATGAACTCACTATTTAGAAGTCTTTTTACCATAGTTTCAACACAACCCCATTAATTCAAAGAATTTTATTTCATTGTCTCAACGACGTGATTTGTTTATCAATATAAAGGTGATGCTAGTGATGCTTAGATTTATCCAACATCTTTGAAGATCCCGAAGAAAAAACATTTTAATTATTATAAAAAATACAAGTAATCTGAGAATGGAAAGTAAGAATGACACTAATGCAGAACAACTTATTGATTGCCCTTATTGAACATGCATTGTTTAATTTTGTAAATTATACAAACATTAACTAGCTTCCACTAACCTTCTTGACAGTTATAATATTATGGACCTTTTAGGTGAACTCACTATTTAGAAGTCTTTCTACCATAGTTTCAACACAACCCCACTTATTCAATGAATTTTATCTTCATTGTCTCAACGACGTGATTTGTTTATCAATATAAAGGTGTATTGATGGCTAGTGATGCTTAGATTTATCCAACACCTTTGAGGATCCAGAAGAAAAAACATTTTAATTATTATAAAAATAAAAGTAATCTGAAAACAAAAATATCCTTGGCTTCTTAAGGATCATGAATTAAAAATAAGAATATAAATATGCTTTATTTAATGATGGTGAGGTAACATCATGCGGTTTGAAGAAGGTTACTATGCACGATGAGCATGTTAACTTTAAATGGAAGCATGATAGCGAGTTGTCAAGCAAACACCAATAAGATGCAAATATAATAAGATGGGGCGTATTCAACTAGAAATTTGCACTACTGCACTTCATAGGTATTAAGATTTAAAGCTAATTTTATTTTACTTATACAAACTTTTAGCTACCATCTCTACCTAATTCATATATATTTAGTACCTACCATCCTTTGCATGATATCAATATGATGATACCTACCATCATCTATCTAATATTTTCAAACTCCCTACCTACAACCTCTATACACAATATAAAGAGAAAGTTGTCTTATGTTGTCCTATGACAAGAAGTAACAAAGAGATGAATAGAAGAGGAAAGGTGAAAAGGGTGTCATTCAAAAAAGCAAGAAAAAAATATTTGCCTGCTTGCATGTACAGTTTTTTTATTTTTTATTTTCTAGAATAATTAAATATTACTAATTTTTTATTCTAACAAAAGGAGAAGCTATTGCGCATAACAAGAAATAATTCCATTTAGATGCAAGTGTGAGGAGAGTAACTGAAGCAACAACAAGCTTCTCACGTCTAAACCTCACTTTTACAACTGGTTAATGCATTTTCCCTCAATTCATTTTCCCTTAATTCAACAAAATGATATTTTTTTTTATATCTCTAACTACAGGAATTGTAATCCTTCATGTACCTATTTTAAACTTTAGTAAATTAATTGATCTATGTGCAGTCGTGGGCAGAGACTTAAAACAAAGTATATAAACTTTGGTGTTATATTTTGTATGTTTAATCTTTTTTGCAATTATTTTATGGTTCGTTATTCTTACTCTAGGGTTGCGGCAATCTCTAAGATAATCCTATAAGAGAACCTTAGCATCTTAAAAAATTTTGACTAAATTTTATATTCTCAATCAACTTGAGAGAGAGGATGTTCATGAAATCCTATTATAAATGTGCAGGACCTCAAAATTATTGATGATGATAGACAAGATAAAAATGTCATCATAAATATTGTGATAATTAGTAAGATTATTATCTAAGAAACAAAAGGAGTAGAAGAGGAAGAAGTGTTCACTTTAAATATAGTGAGTTTCTTTACGTTGCGTGGTTTGATAACTTCAAGAGAGGCACCTAAGTAATGCATTGGATGATCCAAACGGATGGAATCTGTTATTGCTCTTCAAAAGGTTGTATATCATATCATTGACAAGCAAGAATCTCTCTTAGATAACCTTTGCTTACTGAGTTGTCGAGAAGAGCCTTCAGTCCCGTTGTCGTTATAATATAGACAAATATACTTGCAACTCTCTCCTTCATTTTTGTTTTGTGGAATAGATCCCCAAAAATATATTCTTTTTTTATAGCAATCATCATAGTTATCAAAGATTAAATAAGAGGTTATAGATGGACCTCTCGATGCTTTTCAAGGGTGGTAACGAAGTGTCAGGAGGGGATGGATTTGGTTAGCCTCCCAACGATTTCATTATTACTCGTAAATTTTTCATTTCTTTAGCATCTTCATAGTTATAGAAGGGTTCTTAGTGATGTAGAACCTAAAATTTGTAGACTGCATCTCCATGATAAAAACAGCCCAAGTGAACAAACTTGTCACCATCAATAACATAGTGGTTAGCATAAATGAATTTGGAGATATAGTTTTAGCACTGGACTTTTACTTGCTTTACACAAAATATGAATTGGTAAGTTCTGAATAACCCTTTTAGGGTAAAGATTTGGGGTAGACAAAGGCGTGAATTCCTCAAACGAGTGAATGTTAGTGGAATGAGAGTTGAACCACTGTCAAACGACATCTTTGAATTTGTTTGCAGAAGACTAAATTTTACCTGTTAGAGACCTTATAAAGAGAAATAACATCCTTAAAAGTATCTAGATGATTAGAAAGATTGAGTTACCTTAGTAGATCCTTGTTGGGAGCTTTAAACTTAAGCAAGACAACATCTTTAAGAATTTGCAAAGAGAAAGGTCATGTGTACTAGAGATGATGGAGATAAAAGTAACAATGACAGTTGAGTCTTCTAACGCACGTGAAAGATTCAGAGAAAACACTTTTGAATAACAAAAAACTATTATTAAGGGTACCAACCTTTGATATTTTTCTTTTTTTGGGGCAAGTTAGAGAGCTCGAACCCAACACCTTAAATTCTTCACTTTATTTCTAACTAATGTGCTAAGTATTTGAGCACTTCACCTCAAATATTACTATTAAATCATGAAGTGAAAGAGACAAATCATTGGCAAGCTTGTGAAAGAGGCTATAGCTATATGGAGATTGCACTTGGTTGGAAATGAAATGAATGTAATAAGCGGATCAAGTAGTGCTTTGATGAGGTAGTGATGTGCTTTATGTGCATTGGTGTATGAATGGATACTATACTTAGAGCTTTAGGTGAGTAGGTAGGCAATTTTTGGTGCAAATCTCTTAGGCAATGAACGAATAGCTTGAGACTCTTTAATGTGTTTTAGTAGCAGTGCTCCATAATTAAAGCATGAGGTCATATTGCTTTGTGGTGCAGTAGGTGTGGTGGGATCTCCTTGCTACAAATTAAGCAAGAAGCATGCTTGAGAAGATAGAGTTGTTGGATGAAGCTGAGATTGGCAAATCAAGCAAGTGGAAGACCTTAGAAGACCCCCACCTCAGGCCACTTGAAGTATATATTTTGAAAAGACCCTCGTTAATGTGGCACAATCAAATTAGTGACCATTCAAGTTAATTATAATTGTGGTGAATACAGAGATGAGAAAATCAAATCTTTGGGCGATCTTTTAGATTAAGTTGTCAATTTATAATATATATCTATGTTATACTTGACATATGTAGGAGATCACATATGCCTAACAAGTGTCCAATATGTAATAAATCAATAAAATGGCATACATATCTGGCACACATACTATGAGTTAAATGAATAGTAATGATGCAAATAGTCAAACTACGAAAAGTTGAAGTATTAAGAAAATCAAGCATAGCTTGAGAAAAGGACAATTGAAACAACATGATTATAATATTATTTGTTTAGCCTATCAATTTTTAATATTGATTTTTTTTGCAAAAAAAAAACAATTTATTTACAAACTATTTAGATTGTATACATTTCTTATTCATTTAATTTGTATAGTTATCATACTATATTTTTAGCTCTTAAAGACAGGATGATGGTGATGATGATGGTAATTTTGTATCCATTAAATGTGCAGCAATTCACAGCATAGTAACAATATAAAAAAAATAGTTTTTCAACTAATTGACAGCGATGTCATCTGGGCTAGGCTTTCTGATATTTTTCTTAACGAAATTTCACATAAAAAAAAAATTTCTCTTGTGCTGTTTTTGTTTGAAATTTCAAGAGCTAAGACAACATTCATGCTGTTTCACTGTCATAGTTTGTATGAATGCTTCTGGTTTGAAAGATTGAAATTTCACTGTATTCCATTCAATAAGAAGTTAGAACTCCATCCTGATTATGCCCATTGGATTATAGGAAAAATCAACAATGACAAGCATACTTTTTTTTTGTATGCATAGCGCAGCTTCTAACAGTAACAAACTCGCTTCAATTATAATCATAGATTATCTAAAGCGCATTAATCAAACGAAATTGTTAAGCTTTAGGCAAGGCAGTACCTGAAATACTTTGTCGAACGTTATCTTGCCAGCAACAACTAAGCGAGATCCAGCATAAAAGATGACAGCATAAACACAAAATACTAACAGGAAGGATGCCCCAAATGCAATTCCGCTAAGTTTTCCTTGTCTGATTCCTGCTTTAATGGGGCCTTGACATTTCTTTTTATAGAGATCCAATACCTTCTCTTCAGCTGAGAATGAAGCAATCGTCCTCATGTTTCCCAGTGCATCACTCGCCACTTGACTTGCTTCCTCGTACATTTTCTAGAATAGTTCAGATCATTATGTTAAAATTGTTAGAATCCTAAATTGTTGAAATTTTCTCATGGCTCTTATTTGATCCAGTCTGCTTCAAAAGTGATAAAAATTACAAATTTTAACAAAGATGTTGAGCCAAACCTTTGTGTCAGCGCTGAATCCTTTGTTAAACTTCATTCGAGCAAATCCATGGATACATACTACGGGCGCTAATGCCAGGATAATAAGCGTAAGTTGCCAACTTGCAACAAAGGCGACTACCAAGCCACAAACTAAGGTTGAAATATTCTGAACAAGTATAGCTAGTGAATCACCAACAAGGCTTCTCAAAGTAGCAGCATCTGTTGAAAGTCTTGCACCAATAGCTCCGCTTGAGTTTTCAACTTTATCAAACCATGCAATCTCCATGTTGACAACCTTCTGAAATGTCATCAATCTAATCCTTCTAATCAACTTTGCCCCAGCAATTGCAAACAAGCATGATCTTATTGGAATTGCCACCAGACCAACAGCACCAAATAACAAGAACATCGATGACCAAAAGATGGAATCTTCCCTAAGCTTATGTGGTGGCTCGTAGAAAGTTTTTATCATAGTAGATATCAGTAACGCATAAGCAGGGTATATAACGCCATTGAAAAATGCCGCTACTGAACCAAGTACCAAAATCAGGATCTCTGGCTTATTTAGATTCACCAGGCGGCGTATTGGCACTTCATTAGAACTTTGGGATGGAAAATCATCTTCCGGTTCCTCTGATGGCCTCTCTTGCCAGTTGACTGTAACTGGCAAAGCAGGATCCGTAAAGATTACGTGGTCGCTCACATACCTCGAAGACGATTCCCTGCTAAAGGATTGTCTTATTGAACTGGTTCGGCTCAAAGATGATGCTTCTACAGCTTGAACAATGGTTTCTTCCTGATTAGAGTGTGATGATCGATTCAAAATTTGGTCCATTTCTTGTAACTGAATGAGTTGGCTGTATGCTCCCATTGGGTCCTTTAGGAGCTGCAAGTGAGTACCTAACCAAAATAACATCAACTCTTAGAATTAGGCTTTTCCAGATGATTACTAGCTTGGTCATAACAATGCTGGTTCTTCTGACATTAAATAAAAACTTGGTTATTTTTGTGAATACACATATGCTAGGGAGGTTGTACCTTTTTCTACTATTGAACCTCGGTGCATCACAGCGATGGTATCTGCGTTTCTCACAGTGCTAAGACGATGAGCAATTATAACAGTGGTGTGATTTATCATGACTCTATCTAAAGCCTCTTGTACAACTCGCTCTGATTCTACATCAAGCGCACTAGTTGCTTCATCTAGAAGTAGAATTCTTGGATCCTTCACGATAGCTCGAGCAATGGCAATCCTTTGTTTTTGACCGCCTGAGAGCTGGGTTCCTTGCTCTCCAATCAAGGTATCAAGTCCCTGAAAAGAATTAGCAACTCATGTTACAGCGCATGCAGTTTGTTTCAGCAAACATTCTAATGCTTCTCATTAGAAAAATTGTCAGGAAATGCAGAACAACCTGAGGCATCATACTAATAAACCTTGAAGCATTAGCTAGTTCAGTAGCAGCATTAATCTCTTCAATCGTTGCATTGCTCTTGCCATAGGTGATGTTGGCTCTAATGGTCGAGCCAAAGAGGACGGGCTCCTGGCTCACTAATCCGATTTTCTCTCTGAGCCATCTGAGATGGAATTGTTTGATATTTATTCCATCAATGAGAACCTCACCATCTTGTGGATCATAAAACCTTTCTATCAGACTGATCACAGTTGATTTCCCGCTTCCACTCCCACCAACCAAGGCTACAGTTGTGCCATGGTGAATGACGAGTGATAATCCAGTGAATATTTTCTGTTCTGGTCTGGAAGGATAGCTAAAATTAACATCTTTGAACTCTATGTCCCCAACAAGAACATCCAATCTTTTTCCTGTTTTGTCAGTGGAATCAATCTCTGGCTTTCTGTTGATGGTTTCAAACATTTTATAAGCAGCAGCTTGTCCAGCAGCAAATGCTGACGTGCAAGGGGACAACTGAGACAAGGAGCTAAAAAAATAGCGAGTAAAGTATTAGACATGATTCTGACTATGTCAAGCTAACATATGAAAAGAACTCAGAAACTGGGCCATGCACATTCAGAACTACAAATATCTCATAGGTATTTTATCACACAAAGATATGAAAAAATTTCTCGGTGTTATGCCTTCGGCCTGCCTACCATCTCATTGATTCGTGTGCTAATGATGCGACTGCACCAATCCGTGTGGATTATTTATTATAATTAAATGTATAGCTAAATTTGATTCCAGATTTTTGTATATTTCCTATAAAGAAAGCACTCTAGAATGGTGTAAACAGGATACAAATGTTGGAAGAGAGAATAACAAATTCTCTCAAATTTTCCCGTCACATATGAGCTATGTGTTATAAATTCTTTTGCTATGAAACTTTATGTAAACTTTGATGCATACATTCCCTAATACAAGTTACAATAGTTAGCTAAAAATGGCACTCTCACATTTGGGAAAAAAAAACTGAATGAAGTTCTTGGTAACTTACGTGGAACCAAACAAGACACAGAATATAATAGAAAAAACATTTCCACCATTGTAGCCTCTTTGCAGTATCAGCTTTGCTCCATACCAAAAGCCCAATGAAAGCGCACAATAGGATAAAAAAGTGAGAATACCAGAGCCTAATCCAGCAACAATGCCCTCATTAATGCTTGATCTGTAGGCATTTTTAAGAGCTTTCTCAAATTTCCTCACTGATGGACTTTCCCCAGTAAAAGAAGCTACCTGAAACAGAACGGCTTTTGGGAATAAATCCCACCACTCTTTCTACCAATTAAATAAATTACATCTGATACGAACGCGGCTTAGGTTCGACTTACAGTTCTTATTGAGCTTACTGTTTGCTGTACAATTGCAGATGTCTCTATATCGGCCTTCTGTCCACGTGAAGCTGTCTTCATTGTAACGTTTGATATGATCACACTGCAAATCCCAATTATGGGAATCACGGACACCATGACTAGAGTGAGATGCCACCCTTGCACAAATGCAATTACAAAGGCTGTGAAAAATGTGGACATTTGTCCAATGAACTTTCCAACCTGCGGATATGGTTTTAAGAGTTATAACATGAATTGGTTCAATGTTTCTGCTACTTCAATGAACTGTGAGTAAGTTGAACCTTCTCTCCCATGGCGTCTTGAATGAGGGCAGTGTCCCCAGACATTCTTCCTACGAATTCACCAGTGTTTCCTTCCTTATCAAAGAACGCAATTTCTTGATTTAATAATGCTTTCAGGTACAAATTTCTTATTCTAGCTGCCTGCCGTTCCCCAGTGGCTATCCAGCAGGACACCTCTGGTTAAGAAGAAAGATAATATATGCGCCATTAATTAGCTCAGTTAATTGCTTTAATTGTTTGAGCACTTGTAGTAGCATACATACCGAAAAATGAGAAGGACCCTGCGCCAATAGCCAAGTAGACCATATTGAGACAAACCTGCACGCATAAACCAATTTCTTTTCATTAGTTCATATAAAGCCGGGGGATCTGATTTGAATGATAAACTATATAGTTTATTGAGCACGGAAGACAGTGAGGGGCCACTAATATGCGATTTTAGTAATTTTATGTCATGCATATTACACTCATGGTACCAAATTATTATGCATTTATATATCTATTATCTAAATTTTACTTATTACATATATACCACTCAAATCTTTCATATCGAATAAAAATTACCACTAGTTAACTTATAAAAAGTGGAATACTTCTTTTCATGTATGATTAAGGCAGCAAATTTATAAAAATTGAAGTTTAGGTGTTAGATACGTAAATATATAAGAATGGAGAGGCATGCTTTAAATTTTTCATTGCTATAAATGCATGACTGGCTACAATGTTTAAAAATGTACAGTTTGTTCAGAGTTATGTGTAATAAGAGGATTTTATTGGGTTTATTTGTTAAACGTTGTAACCCCTATTTAAACACATGCTGAATGAAATATCCAATTTTTGGCTTATTTCTTTCATCTTGGTATCAAAGTCAAATCCTAGTCATCTCTACCTATCTCTCTTCCAAACCCTAGTCATCAATGAACCGGCAACCCAACCCAAGTCGTCGCTCTAGACCGCCACACTCTAGGGCACCACAGTCTGCCCAGGCCGCCGACGCTTCTGTTTAGACCATCGCCATAACTTCCTTTCCAGACCACCGCCGTTGTCCAATAGCCACATAAAGAGATGAGATATATCAAAATCGGGCCTAAAGAATGAAGGGAATTGTTCATGGTGTGTATGACCTATAAGGGAGTCTAGTTGATTGAAGATGACGAGAGATGGGGATAGTGTGGGGAGTAAAGGATGGATCTTCTAGAAAGGATTGATCCTGAGGTCCTGAAGGCCCTGATAGGACTCATACGAACCGCGACTTCAACTCATGCTTCAATGTAGGTGAAGCTAGATCTCCCTCCTGTGGATTTGAAACTTGATGGGTCAGCTACTTATCTAAGTTGGTCATGTTGGATTGAGGTGGTTTTAATAGGGAGAAAACTAGAGAGATATCTGACCAAGGACGAATCAAAAAATGACGGTGTTGAAAGGGATAAGTGGAGGACCACTCACTCCTTAGTTTACATCTAACAGCTCAACTGAATGGCTCCGTCAATTGTGTCTTCAGTCGATAACATTCAAAAGGTGTGGGACATCTTGGCAAAGTTAAAGAAGACTTATGTTGGGACTGAGAATCACATAAGAATATTTCAGATTCAATGTAAGATAGAAGTTATGGCACAGGATGAGAAAACAATTCAGGAATACTTCATAGATTTGAAGAGGTTGTGGGCGGATCTTAATTACTTCTCACCGATGTCAAGCTGTAGCGATCCAAGGTGCAAAAAAAGAGAGAACTTTACATATATGAGAACCATACAGTTTCTAGCCTGTCTGAATCCAGCCTTTAATCAGTGAAGATTTATCCTCCTAGCTTAGGCGATTGTTCCTACACTATGAGGCCATCGCTGCGATGAAACAAGAGGAGAGTCGCATGAAGCTACACTCTGAACTGAGTGGTTTTTCAGGTGAACGATCAGCATTGACTGTTATGAGCCTAGGTACGCTAGGTGTCCAGGGGGAGACTGCAAGTGCTACAACTATGGTGAAGTTGATCATCTAAGCAATGTCTGTTCTAAGCCACCTAGGGAGAGAGAGATAGGTAGACGTGGACAAAGTGAAAGTCGTGGTTGTGCTCATGGGGGTCGAAAAGGTGAAAAAGGGGGATACCGGGCAATTCTGATGGTAGCAGAGGACGAGCGAGAGGCAAGTGTGATCTTTACTAGTGAGGATCATGAGTTCTTGACCAGTTGAAGAGAAAGTAGAAAGCAGCAGGAGATGGAGCTGATGATATTTCAAATCAATCGACATCAAGGGATAACATTGTCACTTATGCTCATTTCAGCAAAGATACTGGTGACTCATTTGCTCTTGCCTCTTTCCACCGCAGGATCATCAGAATGGATCATAAATTTGATCAATTCATGCTCTGAATGAATGCTCCCCATCAATAGTTCTGAAGGTTAATGTTGTTCTAAAGGACATTTTCTATCATCTTTTGTGGATCGTCCGGGTAAGTTATTTTCTTTGATGTTGCTTTAGGGTTCATCTGGAAAAGCTCGTCTATTGCTACATCCAATCGGCCGTACTTTCTTCCTGGTTGCCCATCTGCTTTGAGAATCATGCGGACACCTTTTTATATGTACACACATATACTCCAATCTCCCTCCTCAATGTTCTTTGATTGACTTCCCTCCCTGAAAGCTAGAACAGCTACATGAAATCCTTCAAAAGAATTTCATCCCTCCGACGAAGAAATCACAACATCCACCCTCAAAACATCAGCAATTGCATACATTTTCTCAATCGCATATCTTCATCTTCAAGGGAATTTTAGAAATTCAAGAAATAGTTTCATTTGTAAATCCTGCACTTACCAGGTCAGGTGATTCAATAAACTACTTGAATCCGTGCATCTCATAAGCTCCTCTCCTTCACAAACGGCTGAACCTGTAGATGACTTCATAAGCAAGCTTCCACTACAACTCCTTTCAACACTAACGACCTCAACGATGATTCTTCTAGCAAGGTCCAAACACGGCGTCGTCGCTTGTGTGCCGTCGAGGGCATCGGGAATGGTGTAGGTGTAGGAGCAGAAGCGAAGAACGGGACAAGAGAAGAACGGGCAGAATAACGCTGTAGAGAGCTGGGGTGCTGCAGAGGCAAACAGGGCTTGGAATAGGGTCGAGAGCGAAGGGAGCCGAGGCGTGCGAAATCAGGGGACAAACTGAAAGTTGGCATGGTTCGGCCTGAGGGGAAGCCACGTACGAGCACAGAGAAGGGGTATTGTTCTGGTGCGGTGGTCTGAAGAGGCTGTGGGTTTGTGCCGGCGAGGGTAATGGCTGGATGGAAAAATTATTCCATGGGTCGGACACCAAGCAGCCGTAGATCAGCTCTACGTCCGATGTATTTTGATGGGTATTATCTAAATTTTAAAAAAAAAAATAGAAATAATCCTGACGGTCAGACCGAATGCACGCAATAATTCCTCGGCTGGATGGGAGGAATAGAACTAATGATAAGTCTGGAATTGTAGCATTTAAATGAAGATGGATAGGGTGAGTGGCATCCTGTTGTGCTCGTAAGGGAAGACAGGACGGGGGATCTGTTAAGGAATACTTCTTTTTTTTTTGTACACCGGAGATTATGTAGAATGGGAACCTCACACATTAGAAAGTATTATGTCGGGATGTGTGGATGGTGATGTGGATCGTATCATATTTTGTGATCAACGACATCAACCACACATCAAGTAGATCGAAAATAATATTTTCTTCTCGCACGGGGGATCTGGTATAATGTAGCGACATTGTACTAAGTTTCATATTAAATTAAGTTAAGGGTCTGTTTTAAGCTGCAAATTATCTAGCTTATCCAGATAAGTAACTTATCCTGAAAAGCTGACCAGCTGTTTGATTTGTGCGTTTGAAAAAACAGTTGATTTGCAGTTATTTTTTTATAAATGATCATTTTGTCATTAATCTAGATAATTTGTTTAGTTTGTAAGTTCAGAAAATAATTAATTTACAGTTGTTTTTGAATAAATAATCATTCTGACATGGCGTAGTTGTGCTGTTTCAGAATCATAATCAGTGGATAGTGTTATTTCAAAATTATAGTCAGTTGATAGAGGACCAAAATTTTAGCAACTTTTACAGGATGTTCTTCAAGTATACAATATGCATTGATATAAAAAAGTCCAATAAATTAACTAAAAATATTTTTAAATTCAAATGAAAACCCGCAGAAGCATTGCATGAATCAAACTGAGCCCATATTAGAAAAGTAGGGCCCATTTTTTTCCAGTCAAAACACATCTCAGAGCCACCTCAAACAAGCACGGCTCACATCCACCACCTATCCACACACCAAAAGCCACCAACCCACACACTCGAAGCCACCACAGCCACCATAAATATCTCTCATAGCCACCACACACAAGCACAGCTCACATCCACCACCACCCACACAAAACAATTACTCCAGAACAAATGCTCCAAAATAAGTTTCAATGCTCAAGAACAAATGCTCCAAAACAGGTTCCATTGCTTAAGAACAAATGCTCCAATGCTCCAAAACAAGCACACCTCATAGTACTCCCTCCACAGACAAACAAATCTTTACAACAATGCTCTAGAACAAATCAAATTCTTTGTAAACCCTAAACAAATCAAAAACCCAATTTCAAGGGAAGAAAGCCAAAATTGAATGGAGAAAGTGAAATTACCACAGAAATAACTACGACACATTGTAAAAGGTAGAAAGAGGAAGGCGAGAGCGACATGAGATTAACAAGAGCGGATTAGAGAGATCGAGGGAGGCGAGAGCGAGAGAGGCAAGAGTGAAGGAGATCCTTCGTAGGGCTCGCATTGAGGCAGTGGGGTAAAATGCAGGAAATCAACGTGCGCCACGAAGTCGATCCCGCGGCACTGTTTATTAAACAATCAAAACCCACGTTTATATAAAAGTCACGTGAACGTGTTAACCAAGCGGGACGACAAAGTTTTGAAAACACCCCCGACAATTTTAATCCGCCCCAAACAGGCAAGAGATTATGTCTTGAGATTTATGTTGCAATGATTTAAGTGTCATCACACAAATGGCTTGTACAATATGGATGTCCCCTCTAGTTAATTTTGGTGTTTTGGATACATTTGTGTAGTCCTTTTCTAGAGCAAAGCTCTTTAGGTGATTATGATGTTTGTGTTGTGGTATATAGAAATAGAACGATCGATGACGTAGCGAAAAATAAAAAGAGAAAATTCACACCAAAAGAATACACAGATTTACGTAGTTCGACAAATTGCCTCAACGACAATTACTGGAGAAATCTCTTCTCTCCTTCTCTCTCTACAACGAAATCACCGAAGAAGAAAAACACTAGG